TAGCCTTGTGTATATAATATCCCATATCATCTAGTCCCCCCCACTCTGGTCGAGTCTGAATGACTCGATCTAAGAGTGAATTAGTATTTATCGACCTCCTGGATGGCTCGTAATCTGATATCGGTCAGCCGATAAGTTTCCCGCTCATGTTTTTAAATAAATTTCACATTAATTGCTAGAGATAAAGTCATCTGCTTCAAGTCCTTTCTGTCGCGCCCGCTTTTCTGCCACGCGTCACGTCTGTCATATGTGTCAGGCGCTTTAATTATTGCGCCTCCTCGTCTAACGCGTCCGTTCTGAACTCCGTGCAAATTAATACTCCCCACCGTAGGTTCTAGCTTTAATCCGACGGCCCTTATCTTTCAACCCTTCAATCTTCCAAGGTATAAATTCCATACTTAGCGTATTTTTTGACTTTTTTTTTCACCTTCGCAAATTTTCGAATTCCTCTGTACCCAAAATTCTCTATGCAAAAAGCCCTCACTTTCTCGGCGATTTCTCCTGCGCTCTTTCGAACTTCCATCAATTGTTGATCCACGGTTATGAGTAAGTCTCTCCACGCTTGAATTTGTATTCTTTGTAGTTCTATTTTGTGTATTCTTGGATTTTCAATATTGGGTACCCTCGATCTGTCTGTTGAATTGTTTCGAATTGGCGTGTCTTGTGTTGAATTTGTGCTTTGAATACTCTTGTCTGTCTATTGGATGTTGAGGGTTTTGCTTCTCCTCTGAAAATTTTTGAAATTTCCGTCCCCATACTTCTCAAATTCTTCTTTTGGTTTTGGGATTGCTCTCTCCAAAAACCCTAATCTTCCTTCTCCCCTCTTTCTTCCTTGCGGCGGCTTCTTTTTGATATTGTTCTCTTTGTCTTTGTTTTGATTTTCTTTTCAGACTCTGAGACCTCCTCTAATTCAGTTGAAATACTGCCCTCTGCGCTCGAAGTTGTCCCTCTCTCTATCCTTCGCCCCAGCGACACAGTTCCTACCCGTATTTTCACAGCTCGCGTTTCTTCCCCCAATTCTGGAGACACCATGGATAATGTTCCTCTCCGCCGTCGTCGACCTGCTTTTGGCTCGATGGATGAGCCAGAGGAGGATGAAGATATTTCTTCCCAACCCAGCGCTTCTGCTTCTTCCCTTAAAAAATCTTCGACCAAGAATCCTTCAAAAGCTTCCACCAAGCATTCTTCCTCCACTTCTCTTTCTTGCCATTGGGTAAACCCCTCAACAATTAGCCGACCTGCTGGTTGGACATTCTACAGCCCTGCTCGATCTGACAAGTACGACCATCCCCCCGAACATTGCTACACTTTCTTCGAAATCCAATTTAAGCTTGGCTTGCATTTTCCTTTGAACCCCGAAATACTTCGCATTTGCGAGTGGTTCACCCTTCCTCTGCATCAACTTCCTCCTAACTCCATCCGTTTCATGACCACCTTCATCATTCTCTGCCGCATCCGTCTAGGTCGATTCGACCTAGACTTCTTCCACTATTGTTATGGCCCTTCTAAGCAAGGTCAGGGCC